GAGAAATATTTCCAAAAAAACAAGAGATATTTTTGTCAGAAAATAATTCAAAATGTCAGACCGAAAGAATTTTTATCAAATTTAAATTCCCATGAATCATATTCATTCCTAAATCCGAAGAAATTTTTCTGACCGTTTTGGGAAAAAAATATTACGTTTTAGATTTATCCAAAAGATTTGTGATAACGCCGCATCATTGCTATACGAACAAGATTCAACAAAAAATATGATTCAGCGATAGCTTCCAATTCAATCGAAACCAACATGCATGTGAAATATTTTCCACGCTATGAATAAAAAAATATGAAGGCACAATCACAACTTTGTCAAATGTTTACGTTATGATTGAGAAAAACGTAGCGACGAAAATTCAATGAACAAGCTACTGATTTTATTGTCATTGCTACAATGTTGCTCTTTCTGCCGTTTAAGTCTATCAAATCAAGAATTTCCAAACGGAATGCATTCCGTCGCCTGTGGCCATTTATTCTTTTCTCGTGGCCACAAGTGGCCAAGTGGCCAATAGTTTGGACAGCACCGCGGTTCCATCACTCTCTGCTGAAGGAAGGATTACGTAGTGGCTAACTGTAGCATATAAGCACGCAGGAATGGAGGCAAAAACAAACGTTGTGCATGATTTATGGCATTTATGTAGAAATTTTGATTGAATTTTTCCCTCTGCAGCGTTCACGACGAATATCAAAAACAATTCATATACTTTTTTCCAATTTTTTGACATTTTTGATTAACTTAAATGATTTTGAACCAAATTTTATATTCACACTCAAAATGATCTATGCTATAACATGTTATACCCTACAAACAACTCTAACTTCTCATTACGCTCTTGTGCGCGCTTGTAGACGTGCACACTGCACATTCCTGTTTGCGTGTGTAATATTTTGTGCGCTGTATTTTTCAAGAGAAACGAAGCGAACGACTCTGTTGTTCGTCAAACATCCGATTATAATACACGTAAGAATTGCACGTAATAGTGAGCGAGATATCATGAGTTTTCGGCGTCCCATTCCTTCCATATAAGCCAATGAAGGTGAATAATATAATTAAAGATTTACACATGAAATATCTTGAAAACCGCTCAAAATGGACCGTGGTGTTACTCCCTAAAAGGAGTTTAGATACCTGGCTAGTTTAATGGCCTGGAATACAAATCCGGTGGAATTTAAGCTGATCCATGGATTCTCAGGATTTGACCAGATATCATCCAAAATTCCACCGGATTTGTATTCTAGGTAATTAAACTAGCCTAAACTCCCTCTAGGGAGTAAAACCACGGTCCATTTTGCCGATTTACCCAGCCGTTTTCGAGATATTTTCATGTGTACATTTGACCATAGAAGCCAATGCAATAGCAGTGGCGCTCCGAGGTTTTCATACAAACTTCCCATGTAGATAGTCTGACGCATAACAAATTTTGTCCCTTTGCCACCTTAAATCTACGTATACTTATACTGTTCGAACTAACACGAACGCGAACTATATAGTCCTCCTCTTTCCCTTCCTCTTCAACAACGCTCCCTCCCGTGATGGTTGGTAGAAGGAGAATGAATGATCTTGTTCACTATCTCTTAACACGTGTTCTACCGACCAACTCAAATACAAAAGTAACCGTTTCGTGTATAAAATATTTGATCAGCACTTGTACAAAATGTAATATGCGTGTGCAAAATCGATTCTCCGTTCCGGGCTGTTGCTTCCTCTCTCTCTCTCTCTCTCTCTCTCTCTCTCTCTCTCTCTCTCTCTC